CCAGCAGCTCGGCTGCTGCCTCACCTCTCACTGTCATTAAGCACCAAAAGCTGAGAGCAACCAGCCCCCAAATTTCTCCTGGGGGCTCAGCCAGCGCTGGTCCCTACCAGGGTTTTCCTACCTCATAAGAGTGGCAGGGATCCCACGCAGCGCGTCTCGATGGCGAACACCCGTGGTGGCCTTCCTCCTCCTCCTTCTCCTCCGTCCTTCATGCACCGGAGGCTCGGAGCACGGCTGAACTCCTCCTGCCTCGCCTGGTGGGGAGAGATGCTGCGATGAAAAGCCCCGCGAGGGAAAGCAGAGCGTTACAGGAGCACCCAGGGCAGATGGAAAGCTGAGCTCAACGCTCCAGGGACCATGGTTTTTTTTCGGCGGCCAGACACAGGGGACACGGACCCGTCACTGGCACAGGGTGGCAGAAGAAGGAAAAGCCGTCGTTCACAGCAATGTGCCTTGCTCCATGGCAAGTGAGAAGTATTCACCCACTGCTGCCAGGCAGAGCTCTCAGGAAGAGACACCCACGAAGAGCAGGGACGGAACCCGAGTGCCTCGCCGAGGTATTTCACAGCTGCTAAGCTGGGAGAACGTCAGCCAGGCGGTCCAGCCCCAGCAAGCAAAACTTTCCATCCTGCTGGCAACGCTGTTTGTTTTCCTCGCTGGGCAGCCAGCAAGAAGCTTGGGATGCCAGCTGCTGCAGAGAACCAGCAATGGGGACACGGCAGGGTCGGAGCGAGCCCCGGGCCACCCTCATCCTCCTCCAGCCCTGGGGAATGGCTCTCGATGGTGGGAGCAGAGACAGCCAGGAGCACGGAAACTGGAGCCAAACTGCATCTTTTGGAGATGCAAGAGGACATGGTGCTCTTGCACAGCCCCTGGCCCGAAATCCCATCCCTAATTGTTCCCATCACACCCCAGGCAGCCCTTGGCAAGGACCTCAGTGCTTCCTGGTGAAGTGGGTTCCCAGTGCTATTACAGCCCCATTCCGCTCCCCACCGACTGGCTCCCCAGGGTGGAGGGATGGATCTGGCCCCCCTTGTGCCACAGGCGAGGTGACGCAGCTCCCGGGGGAGCTGGCACAGGCCGGCGGGCACCTGCCGTGCTGGTCACGCAGCGCGGCCGGAGCAGCTTTCACGGCTCTGTGTGTTAATGCACTGTTTGGCGTTGAGAGAGGAGGGGAGCAGCCCCCCAGGGCTGAAGTCTCCTTGGCCACGTGGGCTGGGGGCAACAGCCACCCCCCACGCACAGATCCTGACCCACGAGAAGTTTTACCCTGTGCCAGCCAGAGAAACCCCCCCGGGATGGTGCCGGGAAGGCATTTTCCAACTCCCCACGTGTTTGGCACTGGCACCCAACCCCTCCAGCTCTGGCACTGCCCTCACCCAGCGCTTGGTGTGAGAACAAGCAAGTTGGCGCCTCCATCCAGAGCAAACCCACAATGAGCTCAGCCCTCCGGGTCCCCTTCACCCTCCCAGCCACGGGATGGAGAGCAGTGCCACTGGAGCATCACCCTCTGCCTGATGGCCCCATCTGCAGGGCACAGCCCAGCTGCCACCCAGTGCTAGTGGCTGCGGGTCCCCAGGGAGCCTCAGCTGGGTCCACAGGGATGGACGTGGTGGCTCTGCCTGGGACCAGGGAAGGGAAATGAGAGGCGATGTGCTGAGCTGGCACGGGGATGCTCTGCCATGGGAACAAGGTGGTGACAGCAGCAGCAGGTGACGGACACAAGACTCAGCACCCACGAGCACGTCCCAAGTGTGGTAGGAGCTGTGCTTCCAGCTGGAGGAGGGGTCCCAGAACAGCACAGTGTCACTTCGAGTTGGAAAAGATCTCCAGGGAGAGAAAAACGCACTGGGGACGTTGCCGTCACTCATGGGGAAAGCAATAAATGGGCAGAGGGGTGGAGGAGGGTAACCTGGTCTGGTCGATGAGAAGAAGAGATCCCCCACCATCACCATCTTCCCTCTCAAAGCTGTCATGTTCACCAAAGCTCACCAAAGCCCGACACCCAGCAGCGAGGGACGCTGCCCTCGCCCCAGCAGCAGCGGGTGAAGCCCCCATCCCCTCCTACTAGGGCAGGTGTGCACGGGGTGCTGGTGAGCCACGGGGACAAGGTTTTAGCCTTCAACCAGGCGAGGTACAGAGAGGGCGAGCAGGGCTGGCTCCCAGCACCAGCCCCGGCGTGAATCATGACAGCTGACCCAAGGAAGCACGCCCAAGGAAGAAAGTGATGGAAAAAGCGATGTGGCTCATACAAGGCGTCACCGTGGGACATGCCAGGATGCTCCAAGCAATGCAAAGGGACCATCAGTGAGGCCAAGCAGCAACCTGTAGAGCTGGGGACAACTGAGCACAACCATCGTATGAGGCACCAGAGACAACCCAGCAGAGCAGCACGGGTCGGAAGGGGCTGTACACAGCACGCAGTGGGTGCAGAGAGGCTCAGAGCAGGATCGAGATCGCTCACCCCGAGCCTATTGGTGTGAGGGCAGGCAGCGTTACCCACACTGGAATAAAAGTGTGTCAGGCTGGCGCAATTAAGTCGGGAGGAGAAAGCAGCTCTGAGCCACCCAAGGGTGCAGGGTGGGAGAGGGACCCCTGTGAGCACCCAGGCACCCATCACCCTGAGCACGATGCGTCCCTGCTCCTCCCTCTCCATCTCCACAGAGGAGCGAGAAAGGGGTCAGCGATGCCACAGAGCCCCCGAATCACCCCCGCA